GGCATTTTATAAGGAAGCTTGCCCTCTGGGTGGTTAACTTAACATGCTATCTGATAGAGTTAGGTCACACAAGATAGTGTGGGCCTTAGCCCAGAAGGATCGGTCATGTCATTTTGGGCAGGGGCTTGTGTCTCCAGCTCATTTAGAGCAGGAGTTCAGCGACATGGCGGTCATTCAAACGATCTCGCTGATATATTAAAGTTACAATATAAACTCCAGATGCTGAAGCTTAGGTGTGTACGCCACATAGCACTGCTGAGCCACACTGTCACATACTAATGCTGAGCAAGCTTGGCCCAGGGCATGGGGCGGGGAAGCTTCACATTTGGAAACCTTCCCGGCACTTCCCTGTCTGATTCTTCCCTGGCTTATTTTGACCTGTAGTTTTCACTTCATCTAAAAGTATACTAGCTTCCATTGAGTTCTGAGTTCTTCTAGTTCCTTATTGAGCCCAGTGGTGGCTTTAAGAATCTGCCAAACCTGTAGTTGGTCTCAGAATTGAGGGCAGTCCTGGGAACCATTGAACCCAGCTGTATGTGGTGTGTTTTTTATATTCATTAAAGTCTTTCATCTTACATATCATTGCAATAAAACTGTGTGTAGATTCAATTTTAAAATACCTTCCAAACATTAGATTACAGTGAGAGCATAGTAAAGTAACAGTATTCAAATGTTTATCAAGCAGAAGAAAAATTAGTGGAAATGGATCTTTTAATGAGATAGGTGAAGTTAATTTTAAACTTCCCTCCCTCCCTCCCTCCCTCCCTCCCTCCCTTCCTCCCTCCCTCCTTCCTTCCAAAACAGTTTTGCCATGCACTTCAGGTTGACATTGAACTTACTTTGTAGCCCAGGCTGGCCTTATACTTGCAGCAGTGCTCCTGCCTCAGCTGCCCAAGTGCTGGGATTACAGGCATGTGCCACTATACCTGGCTCCAGTTAGTTTCAATCTGGATAAATAGTTGTGGAAAAATTATACTCATCTTTGCAGTAAGACAGTATTCAGTATCGTTTTATTTTTTGAGACAAGTTCTCACTATGAAATTTAGACTGACCTTGAATTCACCATGATCCTCCTGCCTCAGCCTCCCAAATGCTGGTATCACAGGCATGTGCCACCATGCCTAGCTCAGTATTGCTTTTGTTTCTCTCTGTCTTTATTATTATTATTATTATTTTATTTTTTTTGTATTTTAGGGAGGGGTCTACTGGGTGTTCAGGGACTCACTACTAGATTGGACTCATAGTGATTCTCCTTTTTGCAGCCTCCTGAGTGCTGGGTTTATAGGCATGCGCTACCACGCCTGTGTCAGCATGCCCTGGGTGCAGGGTGAGAATGTCATGCCCAGGGATTGAACCCCAGGCCCCTGTGCCTGCTTGCAGGTGCTGTAATCCGCTGAGCTATTTGACTGGTCCTTCTCTGTCTTTTTTAGAAGTATAAGTTCTGAGAAATCTGTTCATCCAGTCACTGGGTAATTGGGTTTTGAACATTTTCAGCATCACCAGGGTGTGGGAACGGGAAGAAAGCACGCTTCGCCTTTTTTTTTTTTTTTTTTTCCCCAGTATCGGGGATTGAACTCAGGATCCTACGCTTGCCAGGCAGGTGCTTATTCTACTGAGCTACCTCCTGGCCTTCTATTGTTGGTAACAATGTAAACTAGTCCAACTTCTTTGGAAATTAGTCTGGAAATTCTTCAAAAAAATTAAAAGTAGAAATTCCATTCAACCCAGCTATATATTCCTCTTTTAGTATCTTTCTGAAAGTTAAGGACATCATATTACAGTAAATACAGTCCCACATTTATAGCTGCACAATTCACAATGGCTGAATCTTGGAAGCGGCCTGTATGTCCGCCAACAGATGAATGGATAGAGAACATGTGGTCTTTATATACAGCAGAGTAGCTCTCTGCCACGAAAAAGGGCGAGATGCAGAGCACAGGGGCCAGGCTTGATCCCCAGACTGCTGTGCCAGCCCCACACCTGGGGTGTGCTGAAACGGGGCTTGAGACTGGGTTTGATAGTACAAGGAAGGGGTCCTAGAGATGAGCAGAGGGGAGGACAGGGGAGGAAAGAAAGTAAAAGGAATCCAGATGGTATGGAAATATTCCCCACAATGAATATGTACATATCATCATGAACTATGAGTAAACTATTCAAGAGTTTTCCGCATTCATTTAGTTATCTGAACTCCATCAAGTGATCTGTGATAAAGAAAATTATGATTAGCTGATTATTTGATAAGATTCTTCAGTTTTTTTTTTGTTGGGAACAAAAAAATTAGAAATCACCTGACTTAGGCTGGGAGATAGCGCAGTAGAATAAGCACCTGCCTGGCAAGTGCAAGGTCCTGAGTTCAATCCCCGGTACTGCTAACAAAAAAAGGAAAAAGAAATCACCTGGCTTGCTAGTCTTTAGAGTGGCTAGAGACCTACAGTTGTGGGACCTACACCAAAACCACTTTCACCAAGGCTTGAGTAACTATTTATTGTATCTATCAGTCTTCTGCTTAGCAGAACATTTCAGGAAGTACTTACAAGAGTGAAAGTTCAAAAGGTTGTTTTTTAGATAAATTGTTTTAAATCAAGGCCAGAACTCTGATTCACAGCTAATCCATTTAAGGCCATTATCTGCTGTATAACCTCTTTGGAAAAACTGTTCTTCATTGTCAAACCAGTCAGACTTTTGTACTCGAAAGGTCTGACTTCACTTTTTAGCTCAAATAAATGTGTCAGGCTGTGACAGCTGTGTCGCCTTCCTTTCTCACCGTGCTGTGGGCTGCTCTAACTCCTTGGGCTCCAGGGATTCTCCCACCTCAGCCTCTGGGGTGCCTCTTCCACTGCTCTGCACCACTATACCTGGCTGTTTCTCTTTCACACATAGGGGTTTATGCCCAGGGCCTTGTGCTCGCTTGGCAGTTGCTCTACCACTGAGCTACCTCCGCCTCAACCCTCTCTTCGTATACTTAATTGTTGGTAGTTGGAGGGAAGGGCAAGGAGCCTTGTTTTAAATGTATTGCCTTGTTGACACCTTCTTGTGTTCCTTTTATTGGACACTCTTAGCTTTGGTTCACAGGATTCTTCCTGCAAAGTAATAAATTCTCTGTTGATGGACATGGAATAAAAATGATCAAATTTTTAGATGAGAATTGTGATAAATCTCCACCTCTTTAAAACATTGGGAAGTAAAACATATTATTACAGCTCCACATTTCATTTATTTATATATTTACTTATTTATTATTTGGTACAAGGTCTCTCTATGCAGCTTGGACTCGTAGTGATCCTCCTGTTTCAGCCTCTCCAGCGCTGGGGTGCACCACCATGCCTAGTTTTGGTGGCCAGCATGTAGCGCCCAGGGTGTGGCTAGCATGACATGTGGTACCAGGGGTCAAACACAGGTCCTTGGGCTTGCCAGGCAGGCGCTTAGACTGCTGAGCGGTCTCCCCCACCCCAGCCCCACATTTCTAATTTCATTCTTTCCAGAAATAATGTACCAAGCAGGGATCTCCAGAGTTAGTTTGTGGCACTGTGAGAGTGTTTTGCAGACTGGGTATGATGATGGATGCCTTTGAGCTTAAGGTAATCCTGAACTAACAGACTCTGTCCAAAATGAAACAAAACATGCTTTATGACAAAATGTTACAGGTTGTTCCTTGCTTAGCACTGTAGAAGTTCTGTACTCCAGAGGTATGGTAGGGACAGAGGGGAGGTACACCTTTCTTTATAAAGTAGGCAAAGGTATCTGTGAAAGGGGAGGCAGGGAAGAAAAATCACTAGGCGCCTTCTACTTGAGCATCTGATCCATTGGCATACAGACTAGTTAAGAAAGACTTTAGTACAAATGGGATTGAAGACCTATGAGTTCTTGTTTATTGTTGTTTATTGCTGTGTACCCCTCAACTTTTCTACTTTCAGTAATATAAATAATATGGTCCTGTGAAAGACTCCTGATTTAGTACTTACGGCAACCTCTATTTTATAGATGGGGAAACGAGGCAAGGAGGTACAATACTTGTCTGTGTTCTCTCGGGTAGATATTTCAGTCCAAAACTCCCCAAACATTTCTTTCCTCCTGGGTCATACTGTTTATATAGCTGGTCATTTTAGTAGATACTTATTAAGTACTTGAGAATGAATGAGTCCATATTGTTTTTTTTTTTTTTTTTTTGTATTTTAGGAAAGGGTGTACAGGGTGTTCAGGCTCTCACTAGTAGATGGGACTCTTAGTGATCCGCCTGTTTACAGTCTCCCAAGAGCTGGGATTACAGGCACGTACCACCACGCCCAGTCTCACTTGCTGTCTCAGCGTGCCCCAGGGGCGGGACTGGCATGTCAGGCCCAGGAATCAAACCCCCGGCCTCTGCTTCTGCTTGCCCGAGCTTTAATCTGCTGAGCTATTTGGCCGGCCCTTTTCTTAGGTTGTTTGTTTGTTTGTTTGTTTTTTGTCCCAGAACTGGGGTTTGAACTCAGGCTCTTGAGCTTGCCAGGTAACATATTGTTTTGTGAATGCTTAAATATTTAACCTGTAGTAGTTAAGTTTCAAGTGCTGGATGAAAGTAATGTTGTCTGTGAGTCACCAAAGGATTCTTGTGCTATAAGGCGGGTCAGATTGATCTTCCTTTAGTTCCTGTGCTGATGTTGAGGAGGTAACTAGTAGAATCATGTGCCTGGGCCTTTATAGTGTTTTATCCATTTAAATGGATAAAACACCAATAATAGTGTAGTAGTTTTTGTTTGGTAGGGGATAACTGAAAGTAAGTACCATAATCAGGACCAGGCATGGCGGAGCACACCCTTAATCCCAGCGCTTGGGATACTGAGGCAGCAGGATGACCTGGAGTTCTAGGCCAGCCTCGGCTTCATAGTGAGTACAAGGCCAGCCCGAACTACATAGCCAGACCCTGACCCAAGCAAGTAGATCAAAGCTGTGATGAGAAGTGTACAGAGACACATGTGCTTCTGAGCTTGTGTGACCAGTGTGCTTCTGTTTCTGTGTTACAGGTATTCTCTGAAACCGAATGACCAAATCTTGGCTGAAGACAAGCACAAGGAACTGTAAGTTTATTAAGCCTAGGTTGCATACACTTCTCTGTTTAGGAAGTAGTTGTATGTAAAAAAAAAATCTCATTTTAAAAATTACATAAAATTGTGTGTAATTACCACTATTGCCTTGCCCATAAGATCAGAATAATTTATACTAGATTATTTGTATTACATGAGGTTAAGAATAATTGTCTCTGTGTGCAGGTTAAAGTACGTAGCATTGAACTGGGCCTGGGAGCACACTCCAGTAATCCCAGTACTCTGGGAAGCTAAGGCAGGAGGATCACAAGTTTGAGACTAACCCAGCAGGCAGTATAGTGACTTAGTGAGACACTGGCTCAAAATATTTTTTTTTAAAAATCAGTAAAATAGTTTAATATACTTTAAATATAAAGTTTGTGACATGAATAAAATTTTGTTAGCTCTAAAAATTTTAATGTACATTTCTTAAGATTCTATGTTTTATTTTTAGAAATAGAATTTCTGGGATATTTTCTTTGCTATTTTTATTTCTTAAGGTGGTATTTAAAAGAACACCAACTGTCAGAAACTGAGAAGATTTTGGTTAAAAATGATAGGCTTGGGAATTTTTAATTTTATCTCAGCCTTTTGAACACTTTATGATTATATAAAGGGGGAAGCTTTAAAATCAACACATTTTATATGCTTCTCATTTTTTATCGAATCTCTTTTCCCCCGATGATGTAGTAAGGAAATGCTGTAAATATTAAAATGCTATATGAACACCTATTGCTAAATAATGGAATAGAAGTGTGAATCTGAGGAATTTAAGGTTAATTATGCCTTCCAGTTGAACCGGAAGGTTTCTTTATGAATTGTAATTAAAAGAAAAATCAGGCAAATGCCCTGCTGTGTGGCAGCTCACAAAAAGGCGGGCTTGTGAAATAGTAGTGTGCGTCCTCATCAGGCTTCTTCAGGCTTCCATTGGCATTTCCTCATGCTCTCTAATGTGCTTTTTGTTCGTCTTTCTCTCTCTCTCTCTCTCTCTTTTTTTTTTTTTTTTTTTTTTTTGAGACAGGGTCTCAGTATACAGTTCAGGCTGGCTTTGAGCTCATTTTGTAGCCCATGCTGGTCTCGAACTTGAGACAATCCTCTTGCCTCAGCCTCCTGAGTGTTGGGATTATAGGTGTGCACCACCACATATTCACTAGTGTTTAATATTTTAGAATTTTTAAAAAAGTTTTGCGTATTTTAGAATTTTTAATAAATTGAATCATATGTGTATTGTTTTGCTAATGGATGCCTTGGTTCATTAATTCCTTTCTCATTGGTGATTAAAATTACATTATCTTTTTTATTGGGTAGTGTTATCACTCAGTTGAGTTGACATTAGTTGGTGATTTTTTGTTGTTGTTGTAGGTAATCTTAATCATTTTGGCTTCTGATTCTCTGTCTTGTAATTTTTGGCTTCTGTACTAAAGAAAACTCTCAGGTGAATATGCTACTGTAACAGCAGAATATTAATTAAAATATGCAACAGCAGCTCATCATGAAAGTTGCTCATAAATAATCTGATTTGTGCCTTTGCAATTAAAATAGCCAAAATCTCCCAGGGAGATGTTTGAGAAGATTGAAATGCTAATTACCCAGAGTTGATCATTAGACACCATACGCTCATTGTGAGTGAAATACATGGTGAATGTTTAAATTAAAAAAAAAAAATACAGTAAATGACTCAGTGCCTTTAATTTTGAGACAGGTTCTCACTGTGTAGTTCATTTTGGACTTGAACACACAACAGTTCTCCTGCCTCAGCCTCCTCACTGCTGGGATTCTCTTGAAATACTTGCTCTTGCTTGAAGCAACAGTTACCCTATTGTTCTTGCCACTTTCTGAAGCAGTTCTGAAGGCCATCTTTTTTCTTTTCTTTTCTTTTCTTTTTTCTTTTCTTTTCTTTTCTTTTCTTTTCTTTTCTTTTCTTCTTTCTTTCTTTCTTTCTTTCTTTCTTTTTCTTTCTTTCTTTTTTTCTGGGTCTTTATGAGTTGTGATTAAAAAAAAAAATCAGGTGAATTCCCTGCTGTGTGGCAGCTCACAAAAAGGTGGGTTTGTGAAATAGTAATGAGCGTCCTCATCCGCCGCATTCCCCTGACCTGGCACCTTGCGACTTCTCACTCTTTCCCAAAGCCAAAATGACCGGGAAAGGTCAGTGTTTTGAATTGATTTCAGGCCAGCAGGTCAGCCACAGCAGCATAATCAGGAAGACATTCATGGTGGAAGACTGTGAGAACTGCTTCATTAAGTGGCTAGTGTGATGGACTAAGTGTGTTGAAGTGAGGGGCTGGATTTTAAGGGAGATTCATGGCAATGTGTCTTTTACTATAATAATTAAAAAAAAATCTTTTTAGCACGGGGTCTCACTATGCATTTCAGGCTCGTCCTGAGCTCACTTTGTAGCCCAGGGTAGTATTCAAATTGAGATGATCCTCCTGCCTCAGCCTCCCGAGTGCTGGGATTATAAGCATATACCTCTGGGACTGGCACTGTAATAATTTTTGTAAACGTGCAGGGAAATAGCTCCGTGGCATAAATGCCTGTCTGATAATCACAAGGTCCTGAGTTTGATTCTGATATTGCAAATAAATAAATAAATATAATAAAATTTTTGTAAATATTCACTGTGATTTTTTAAAGCACTTCATACATGCATAAAACTATTGAATTATCATGATGTACTCTATAAATACTATATATCCATTTAATGAGAAGCCAAAATCTCTTTGTGCTTAAGACCAGTCTTTTAAAAAAAGTAAGAAAGCTGCTGAGGTTGTACAGGCTAGTTGGGCTAGACAGGAAGGAGGCTGAAGCAAGAGCATCCCAAGTTCAACATGACCCCTGACATTTTTAATGAAAACATGTCTCAAAATAAATTAAAAAAAAAAAAATATATATATATATATATATATACACACACACACACACACACACACATATGGCATATAGGGCCAGCCAGATAGCTCAGCGGACTAAAGCATCTGCTTAGGCAGGTGCAGGGACCGGGGTTCAACCCTGTGTGCTGTGCTGTGCAGTGCCAGCCCCGCCCCCGGGGCTCGCTGGGCGTGGTGGCACATGCCTGTCATCCCAACCTATGGGAGGCTGAAAACAGGAGGATCACTATGAGTCCTATCTGTGGTGAGACCTTGTACACTCTGTTTTAAAAATACATTAACAATAAAAAAAGTACAAGGCGTCTAGCTCAGTGCTACAGGGTTTGTCTAGCATGGGTTCATTAAGCAGCCTTGGGGACCGACATTGGGGAGGGGTATATGTATAACATTTCATTATACAGTTAATAATTGTGTGCTTTATTTTTTTTAATTTTTAAATTAATTTTATTTATTTGTGTGTGTGTGTGCGCGGCCAGCTCAGCCCACCAGGGGGCGGGGCTGGCTGGCATGTGGTGCTGGGGGATTGAACCGCGGTCCCTGTGCTCTGCTGAGCTTGTTCTAAGTAGGTGCTTTAGACCACTGAGCCATCTCACCAGCCCTGTGTGCTTTATTTTTATGAACCCTAATTGCTTCAAATTTGCTCAAAACAGTCTTACTCAACATGATATTGTAAAAAAATGTTTGGGACTGTCACATTGGCTCACTTAGTGACACTGTACTGTCATTCATGTATACCAATAGGAGCCACCAGTGCCGTGATGGCACTAATTATCTTGCTATTATATTATGTACAGTAAGTATGTTTTCACTGGAAACAGTCTCCGTTTCTGAGGTCTGGTGATTCAGACCGCGGGCACACTTGGTGACACGTGTCTTGCACATGTGCTTGCCATTTCTCTGGGGAAGACTGACAGGAAAGAGGAAGGAATGGCTCAGCAGTGACACTTGTTTCTCTAAGCCGACTGACTTTGCTAAAGTCTGTTTTTCATTACTGTACATTTAAAGATGCTGCGGGTTTATTGGGGGTAGGAAAAGAGAAATAATTAAAGCTGTGATATGATTGATACAAAACAGTAGGATTAATACTTGCCGTGCACGGTTTCTGTAGTGAACAGGTTAATTTGTCTTCTGTAGATTTCTTTCTTTTTTTAATTTTTTTTAAGAGTAGAAAAATTTACAGGGGAGAAGAAGTGGGAAATAGGAATGGGGAGAAGAATAGCTCCCAAGACACACGCGGCGTCCTGAGTGGGCTGCCAGTGAGCCCACCTTTCAAAGGAAGATTGATAGAGCAAAATCACAAGGCGGGTACAGTGTGGGACCAAATTATGATAAGCCAGTGAGATTACAAGTGTAGCTGCTTAGGTAATATTAATTAATAAGGGCATATGGGTGAGGTCATTAACCTCGCTTGATAATCTGTTTATAGGCTTTGATTTTTGTAGGGTTAGTCTTACCCCCAGTGGTCTTAGTTTTAGTGGATGGGAGAGGATGTGCTCACCCCCAGGGAGCATCTCAGAAGGTAGACCCCCCTCGTGTCAGGCTTCTGTTCATCCCATAGGCAAGGATGTAAAGCTGGCCACTGGAACTTTAACCTTCTTCCCATGTGCCTCAGCCATAGTTTTGGTGTGGTCTCATCCTCTGCAACTGACTCTCAAAGGGCCTAGTCCTGACTGCTGAAAATATTTCTAACTTAGCTGTCTTTATATTCCCCTCACTGAAGAGCTATCCCTAATGGGGGTTAGGGAGAAGGGATGTAGTTTCCATCCAGCTGCTTTGAGCTGACTAGGGTATTGCAGAGGGAGCAAGGGGCTTAACTGTTATAATCTCTGAATATCAAGCACTTTGAAAGCAAAGTATAGCCAGAGGACTGTTATTTCTTACCAAATCTTGTGTGTGTGTGTGTGTGTGTGTGTGTGTGTGTGTCTGTGTCTTTTTCAGACAGGGTTTCACTATGCAGTTCAGGCTGGCCTTGAACTCAGAGTGATCCTCCTGCCTCAGCCTCCTAAGTGTTGAGATTATAGGTATGTGCCACCATACCTGGCTCATGGTTGTTTTACTAGTAGAAGCCCAGCAGAATGTTAGAAGACAATAATTGTATAGTTTCAC